GTAACCTTAACGTAGTTTACTTTCTTAACCAACCACTATAATACTCCTCTCTCTCTCTCTCTCTCCCCCCTCCCCCAACCATGTTCACCATCATTATTACCACCACCAATACCCACTGCACTACCACTAACACCACTCCACCACCCACTCTACTATTAGCACTGCGTAGCCACCATTACTCCACCGGTATCACCACCTCCACTGTCTGGACACTAATACCGCCATCACACCACTGCTACCAGGCCACCACCACAACCATCACAACCACCATTCCATTGTCACCCTCAGTCCATCATAACAGTACAACCAAATATCACACCACACCATAACAAATTGTAAATCTAATTCAGCCAATCAAACATCCCTAGACAGCAAATGACATTTGACCAAATTGTCATTTGGTTAAAAAAAAAATACATTTGACGGAATTTGGAAATCTAATGATGCCTATATCACTTGTTTGTGTCGAAGGTGAAACAATGGCCACCTGGCTTTCCGAAGAAATATTTGAAAGATTAGTTTTGTTTGTGCTTTTCAAGCTAAAAGGCATCTGAGTCAAATTAAAAAAGAGCATCTTCCATCCTTAATGTTATGCAAAAAATACATTATATTACCCTTAAAATAACACCCCCCCACCACCCAACAAAGAAAGAAAAAAAAAAAAGCCTTTAGGAATAAATAAAAGACACCCACTTAATTAAACATGTTGGTCATATCTTGCTGCAGTTAGTACAACTTTTCAGAATCATTGCTCTAGAGCACAACTTGGTATAAACTCTTGCTAACCTCAGCGATTTTCTGAAATAATGAATTTCTACATTGATCTGTTATTTGAAATCCCACCGAACATGCAACTGTGCATAACAATTCTCTGCCTGTTATTTACTATACAGGGTCACATTATTGAAACATTTACCATTTGCCATTTCAATCCATATATGTCTGACATTCTCATTAGAATGACTTGCAGAATAAAAAACTTACAATCAGTCATCTAATTATGCAGTACTGAAAGCGAGGAAGACATCAGTCAAAGCACCACGTCAATTCCAACATCTGAGAAATTAACTCCACGAAAGAGACCACCCAAGGACTTTGTCTGCCCAATCACAGGTCAGCTATTCAATGATCCAGTTACTCTAGAAACAGGCCAAACTTACGAGAGAAGAGCAATACAGGAGTGGCTAGAAAGAGGAAATACTACGTGCCCCATCACCCGCCAGAATCTCTCCGCAACCACTCTACCAAAAACAAATTATGTATTGAAGAGATTGATTACCTCATGGAAGGAACAGCATCCTGATCTAGCCCACGAATTCTCAAACAGTGAAGCATCAACACCAACAACATTTACTTCGAGAGAATCATCCTTAGGGTCTATCATGTCCTCTTCTTTCAACCCAATTCCTACACAGATTACAAATGATATTCCCATAGGCGATAAGAGGAATAGAAGGTTTACTCATGCAGCTGTTTCCACTTCTCCAAAAAGTGTAATATCTCAAGCTGCTGTGGACATGGTGATAAATGAGCTGAAGCCTTACACATCCTGTATATGCACTTCAGAAGACTTGCAAGAATGTGAAGCTGCCCTTTTAACCATAGCAAAGATATGGAAGGCATCAAAGGCAGATCCTGGGGTGCACACCTACCTAGCAAAACCCACAATTGTAAATGGTTTTGTTGAGATACTTTCCGTTACAGTCAACCGGGAAGTTTTGGGGACTGCAATATACATTCTATCTGAATTAGTATTTGCAGATGAGAGTGTTGCAGAGACACTGACCAGTGTGGACACTGATTTTGATTGCTTGGCCTCACTCCTAAAGAATGGACTAGCAGAAGCCTCTGTTCTCATGTATCAACTGAAACCCACATTTTCCCAGCTCTCGTCGCATGACCTTGTTCCAGCGCTTGTTCAAGTGATCCTAAACAAGAGTGAGGAAGAGAATGAGTTCCTGATGGGGATTAAACCCAACGATGCAGCCATCGCTATGCTTGAACAGATCCTATTGGGTGGGGATGAGAATAGCAGGGCACTGAATGCTTTATCAGTTATTTCTATGAACGCTCTTCCTGGTCTGATAAAGAACCTGGACCGTGTTGAAGGCAGAATCTGTGTTGTATCGATACTTGTATGCTGCATGAGAGCGGACCAGAGCTGCAGCAACTTGATAGCAAACAGAGCAGAGCTAGCTCCAGTTCTAGAACTATTTCATGCTGGCAATGACAGGGCAAGAAGCATCTGCATGGCATTTATGTCTGAACTAGTTTCTGTACACAGGTATATTCTGCTTCTGCATATTATCTGCCCTCTTTTTCATTTGTGTTGAACAACTTTACACACAGACACAGACACATAGATATTCATGGGGAAGCTTGCATACTCCATTGAGCTAATTTCTACAAAATTAACTCATGAGGGTTTCTTTTTTACATAAATTTTTGCACATACACTCTCTTGAACACGGCAAACAATCTTATGAAGTAAAGAAGAAAAATGTAAAACAGATATCTTTAGGAAAGAAAATTCGGTGAATGTAGGCCATCTATTTTAAATCTAGGCCTATAAGAACTCAAAATCAACTTTTTTAATTATTCATCTGGTAATGATGGCACCATCTACAAAATTTGGGGTCAAAATCTCCTGAAAGCCCCGATCTAACACTGTTTTTCCTTTTACACACAACAACTAACTTATATGCATTGCATTTCTCTCTCCTAAAAGATAACATTTCCTAGAAATTTCTTTTTATGAGCTTGTTCATTGGGTTGAACGTAGGTCATCCACAAAATTTGGGGCCAAAATGAATCCCCCTAGATAGGTTGTGTTTTGGCCGTGAGGAATTCCTATAGAAATTAGCTCAGGGGTGTATACAATCTTTTCCCCTATATCTAATGCAAGTCCCTCACGCACCCTGTGTTCATAAGTCCCCAACTATAGGCCATTGATATCAACAAGCTGTAAGATTCAGATAAAACTTTGGAAAGATCTATTATCCATCTCTCCAAGAAAATGGATATCTCCATAAGATATTTTCAATTCAATCCTTTTTTTTTTCTCCACTCGGACCAAGCCGCCTACTTGACTTCTTATATTCAAAGTGATCTACTCCAATGATACTATTATTCCGTACCATTATGGACGAAGATCAAGGTAAGATATGCACTTCTTCGGGAATGAAAAAAAAATCCATTTACTTTGATTTGAATTTTGGTATTTTGGTCCAAACTCTCGTCTTTTGATATTCAATTCAATCTTCTTTTTTTATTATTGAATCGACTTCTATGGTCCCATATTTGGCAATTCCTGAACTGCTTCTTGTGTTTCGGGGATCGTCGAAATAGGCAAGAATACTATTTATAGGTCAAATACCTTGATGGGTATTTGAATCACGATACGAGGAGGCCTTAGTTCCTTCTCCCATTCTTGATCATATTGGAATGGGATGATGAATCTATTTCTTCGCCTCTTCGCCAATAAATCAGAATTCTCGTGGAGAATAAGGGGATATATGGAATCCCAATTCCTGCTGGATATAATTCGATCAGGTCACCCTCCCCCTTTTATGATCCCACCCAAACAATTTGTGTCTCACTCGATCATTATTCATTGAGAGGTCAGAAAGATATCTCTCATAAACATAAAGAGATTGAACATTCATTTGATCTTGATCCTTGTGGAGTGGAAAAGGCACTATATTGGATTTGCATGGACTTCCTGATAATACCCATAAATGACTTGTTTTGGGTAAGAGAAGAACATTACCATGTGTATATTCGTGTGTATGGTACACATCGGTACTCCAATGCATCTCTCCCTCTGAGTCAGAATAAATATGTTTTTGAACCCTCTCCTTTAAAGTGGATGTTCCAGCACGAATCTCAGCAATAACTTGTTCTGATTCTACATATTGATCATTTTGAACCAAAAGAAAAATTTTTGGTGGAATATTAGGTCAGCTGAGTGAAATACAGCAATAAACAGTTTTTCATTCTCTTCATTATAAAAAGAAACTATTTTTCATTCTCTTCTTTCCTGTTTGACAAAAGAGAAGTTGATAGAAAAGCTTGGCATGGGTGAGGGAGGGAGGTACAGAGAGAGAGAGAGAACAAGGGAGATTGATCTGAATTCTAACTAGGGGGTGAGTGCCTCTTCAATTGAATGAATATATATATATATAGGGAAAGTATAGAATGAGACCATTTATCTTTGGTACAAGGTGGTCACATTAATCTTGACCATTGGATGTGAAATTGGGTGGCTGCAATCATTCCATTGACCAAGCTCAAACTTCAAAAGAAATTTTCTCGAACTTTGTGACACATCTAAGCAATCAAATTTCACATCAAATGGTTGTAAATAATTGTGACCACCTTGTATTAAAGGTGAATGGTATCATTGTATA